ATCAATGACACAGAGGCTAGGAAGTTAGTCATCCAGTAATTCTCCTTTGAAAATGCAAATAAGTGGTATAAACAGGTTACACCTGAATATTAGTGGGTACTTAAAACTGACAATGGCACTGCTTCTGTGAGTGTTAACTTCCAAAGATTTTGCAATTTTTTTCTCATTTGCCTTATTACAGGAATTCATTATAAGTCTCATAGACAAAAAATTTTTAAACATGCTCTCTGTATGCTCAAAATTCTATTGCAAAAGTAAAACTAAGAAAGGAATCCTTCCCTACACCTCATAATAGACTTCACTTGGCAGTGTAAACTATTAACTTTTTAAATATTACTAGGAATGGGACTACAATAGCAGAAACACAATTCAAAAAGATAAAGAACAAGAAGCTGGGAAGGATTCTTTAGAAAGGTCTTCAAACTGGACAATGAAAGGGACATAACCTAGTATTTATATGGGGCCAACGATATGCTTTTGTTTTTACAGAGAATGCTGAATGGTCTCTCGGAGTCAGAGCATGCTGTCCAGCTGGATCACGGACCCTCACTCTAAGAAGCAGTTGGTTGCAAATTTCAAGAAGCTGATGCTCAGCTCTTGGTAATGTTGCCATGCAGACCACACCACATCTGTTAAACTAAATGGGGCTAGAGCCCACCTGGAGTGCATTAAAGGAATTGGCCCAGAATGCTCAGGAGATGATAACTAAAAATGGAAATCTAAAGTCTAAGTTTATGGAGCTAACTGAGCGGGAAGCTACAGGAAAGAACACAAAAGTTGCCAGTATTCTTAGAGTTGAATAAAATTTAAATATATGTATAAAAATAGAAATATATATTAGATAAGAGGTTTTATTTCTTCCAAATTCTTAAAAGAAATCTCCGCTAATTGACCTACAAATAATCCTGACTAGTCTATTTATAATTAAAGTTTCTAAAATTGTATAAGAGCTGGGGAGATAGTTAAATAGAATAAGCACTTGCCTGGCAAGTGCAAGGGCCTGAGTTCAATTAATGCTTCCACCAAAAAAAAAAAAAGAAAGAAAGAAAGAAAAAAGAAATCAAATTATAAAAGAGTTATTATAATGCAATTTGGTCAAAAATATATTTGAGCATATTCTGACATTTTAAGTAGATAGTCTGTATTTGTTTATTACCCTGTTTGTCCTGTGAACAACTGTTTTGTATTTGTACTCAACAATGTTTTTCTTCTTTTTTATTTTGTATTTTTGCATCATTTCACTTATAATTTAATTTGGATTCTAACATTTTATGTTTTGTTTGTTTGTTTTAGTTTATGCATTTGGTACAGGGTCTCACTATGCAGCTCAGACTTGTAGTGATCCTCCTGTTTTCAGCCTGCCCATGGCTAGGATTACAGGCATGCCTACCCATGACAGGTTTGGTTGCCAGCTCAGTGCATCTGGGGCAGGGCCGGCCATGCATTACCAGGGATCGAACCCTGGACCCTGTGCTTGCCTAAGTAGGCCCTTAGTCCACTGAGCTATCTCGTCAGCCCTTTGGCTTTAGCTTACAGTTTTTAAAAGCATGATTGTACCTGATTTGCCAACTGGTCAAAATTATATCAAAATTGGTTTTCTCACAGGTCATCATAAATTATTAATATAATTAAACAAAAATCCCTTAGGGTGGGGAGAAATGACGGACAGAACTCCAGTTGGTTAAAAAAATGTAACTTCCTGGAATAATAATTATTCTTATTCATTTACGGGATTCCCCAGTGATCTCCATATCCTTAAGGGAAACAGGTCAATAAACATCATTAAAAACAAATTTTGATATGCTTCATTTGGCCATTGTCAAAATATCAAGCTTCCTAAAACTGAGACAATAAGTTTTTCTGATTCAAAGATGTTTTGGGAGTCATTTGAGTACACTGAGCTCCATACAGACAGCGTCCGGGGCAAGTGCGAGCCGAAGCGGCACTGGGTGACTGTACCTCACTGAGGAAAACAAGTAACCATGGACAAAGGAGATCCTAAGAAGCCGAGAGGCAAGATGTCATCAGATGCCTTCTTTGTGTAAACGTGCTGAGAGGAGTACAAGAAGAAGCACCCAGATGCTTCTGTTACCTTCTCAGAGTTTTCTAAGAAGTTCTCAGAGAGATGGAAGACCATGTCTGCTAAAGAAAAAGGAAAATTTGAAGACATGGCAAAAGCAGACAAGAATCATTATGAAAGAAAAATGAAAACTTATGTTCCTTCTAAAATAGAAACAAAAAAGAAGTCCCAGGATACCAATGTGCCCGAGAGGCCTCCTTCAGAATTCTTCTTTTTATGTTTTGAGTATCACCGAAAAATCAAAGGAGAATATCCTGGCCTCTCCATTGGTGATGTCACAAAGGAACTTGGAGAATTATATAATAATACTACAGAAGGTGATGAACAGCCCTATGAGAAGAAGGCTGCTAAACTGAAGGAGAAGTATAAGAAGGACATCGCTGCCTACTGGGCTAAAGGAAAACCTGATGCAGCAAAAAAGGGAGTCATCAAGGCTGAAAAAAACAAGAAAAAGAAGGAAGAGGAGAAGGATGAGGAAGATGAGGATGAAAAGGAGGAAGAAGATGAAGAGGATGAAGAGGATGAAGAAGAGGATGATGATGAATAAGTTGGTTCTAGCACAGTTTTTTTCTTGTCTGTCAAGCACTTAACCACCTTGTATAGAACTCACTACTTTTGAAGAAAAAAAATTGAAATGTAAAGCTGTGTAAGGTTTGTTTTTAAACTGTACAATGTCTTTTATTTTTTATTTTTATTTTTTTGATATAGTTTCCACACTACTGAATGTGTCTTTAGATAGCCCTGTACTGGTGGTATTTTCAATAGCCACTAACCTTGCCTGGTACAGTATGGGGGTTGTAAATTGGCATGGAAATTTAAAGTGGGTTCTTGTTGGTGCACAGCACAAATTAGTTATATATGGGGACGGTAGTTTTCACCTCAGTTGTCTCTGAAACAGCCTATGAGAAATAATTTTTGTTCTGTTAACTGAATACCACTTTCTAATTGCAATAAGTTGCAACTGTTTTGTTGACATTCTGAATGCTTCTAAGTAAATACAATTATTTTATTAGTAAAATAAAGATGGCTTTGTATAAAACTAAATTTAAAATGTTTCTGTATGGCTATGACAATTGATTGTTATTAATATTATCGTATATTAAGTATATTTATGCCTTCAAATGCAGTGCTTCTAACATGTAAAACAGGAATTGCTTATTGTGATAGACTTTTCTTTAAGATGCAGAATTTTTCCTTTAAAAAAAAAAATAAAAAGAATTTTGCCTTTAAGTCCCAGGGGGATAGCTCAGCAGAATAAGCACTTGCCTGGCAAGCACAGGGTCCTGAGTTCAATCCTTTTTACTGCAAAAAGGAAGAAAGAAAGAAAGAAAGAAAGAAAGAAAGAAAGAAAGAAAGAAAGAAAGAAAGAAAGAAAGAAAGAAAGAAAGAAAGAAGAATTTTGCCTTTAAAAAGTACTTCTTTGATGCATATGCTAAGTATGTGCTATTATACTAAGAGATGCCTAGACATTACACAGTATAGACAATGTCACAAATTTCATCAATGATATTCCATTGAAAATATCAACAAGTTAGGCAAAAGCATCTTATATACTAGATAGAGATGACTGACCAAAAATGCTATTTTATGTCAAAAGGGAAATTTAGGTGTGTTACAAATATGGAATCATGATTATCATACTATAATATTATATATAGTTTTGTATTTCAAATTTTCTGTATGAAGCTATATAGCTCTTGCCTGAAAATATGGAGCACTAGGGTGAGCCACACAAAAACAAGTTGCCAGGTGAGGAGCTTCAACGACAAGAACCTCCTGAGTACATAAATGAATGTGCCAGTTGTTGGTGGTCCTTTGTCTCCTACCAAAAGAGGAGGTTCTAGCTCAGCTCAGTTTTTTGCATTTTTCTGTATGTGCATCTGATTCATTTCATTTATGATTATGGTCTCCAGATTACCAAAAATTATCTCAAGTTTATCTTTCTTAATGGGTGAATAGTACTCCACTGTATATAAGTGTCACATGTTCTCCATCCTATAATCTGTTCATTGGGCATATGGAATGTTTCTAAGATTTTAATTATTATAAATTATGCTGCTATAAATGTAGAGATACCAGCATCACTACATTATGATGACTTTAACTCTTTCAGGAAGATACTTGGAAGGAGAATAACTGGGTCCAATGACTCAAGCAATGCTTAATACTTTTACTTTAGTATTTATCATGTAATGACATTCCACAAAATTCACTTAACTTCATTTTATGAAATTTGTTTAATTATAAATTAATAAAATGCACACTTTTCACAGGTGGCCAAATATTATTGTAAACTTATTTCAGAAAAAAATAATAGATATATTTTATTTTTTGTCAAATGACCTGGTTGTGTATAAGTTCTGGCTTAGATGTAGGTGTCTACCCAAAGTCTCATGTATTCACAGAAGGGGCTTTTTGGAGGCAGATATATCTATGGTGTGAAAACATGCACTAAGTGTGTGTGATAGCTAAGGTGGTTCAGAACAGTTCCAGGGGTGGGTAATGAAAGTCCCACCCCAGGCACGAGGGGCACTACTCAGTAGTCTTATAGTCTGGGTGGGGTAAAAGAGAAAGGAAGGCTGACTACCTCTGGCTCTGGTGTTTCATTCCTACCCTGCCATGGACTGTCTCTTGTCTGCCATGCCCCTCTGCTAAGCCTCCTCCTCGGAGCCAGCTGAGAATGGACTACACTAAACCTTTCCTCATTTAATTTGTGGGTCTCAGGTATTTTCTCAGCAATGAGAAAAGTAAGTAATAGAGTCCATTATACCAACAATTAAATGAATAAATCTAAGTTAAAAGTATGGGTTAAAACACAAAACCAGGATACTATTCAATAAAATTTTGCCTTTTTATGCTTATTACTAAATAATACTTTATAACTCTATTACAATAAAAATTCAGTGCATTTTATACTTACCTACAATGTCCTTCATAAGGCCTACAATGCTCTCATCTCCTATAATCCAAGGACGTTTTCCTACATCGTGACCATAGCCTCCCCTAAAATTGAAAAAATGAAAAATATTTCTTAGCTCTTTGCTGTGTGTTTCTGCGCATGTGTGTGATACATGTATGTGTTTTCAAATATCAAATTTGGCAATTAGCCATTTCTATGTAGTCCTTTTAAAAGTTAAATAATTATATAAAGAATGCTCTTCCAAAAATAAAAATGTGATTCTTGGATGATCCATTTCATAACGACATTTTATCGTTCTTTATTGGAGGATCAATGAACTTTCTCATCCTACTTTATTATTTTGCTGTATTTTAAAGTCTAAGATGCCATTTTATTTTTTTTTAATTTGAAGAATATTTGACACATTTTTTTACTTGTAGTATACTTTCATATACTTTGAATCTGTACAAAACTATACATGCTATTTTTAATCTAGAAAATGATTATCAGCTGAATTTTAAGATACTGCTATACTGTTCAGATCAAACAGAAGTATATAAAATGTGCCTCTACTCATAATAACATTTTATCTAAAATAAAAAGCTTAGTTGTAGTTCAAGCCAACAAAACTTTGACATATTTGCTAGCAAATCACTTCTCATACTCCATTTATATTTATGATGCTAGCTCATATTCTAGTGGACATAAGGAAAAATACAAAAGATATAAGAATGCCTAAGCATCAAGAAATTTCCATTAAGTGAGAAAGAAAAAGGCACTTGTGAAACACAAGAAACTGAACCAAAGGGAAAACAAAAGTGCAAGTCCTTATGTGCTATTATGTACTTGTAATTTCCTAAGCTCTGAATCAGATTATTGTCTTCAACCCAAACCTTTGTAGATTTGGAAGAAAGTAATGTGAATTTTGCTTTTCTGATGCAAGCCTGTGTGTGAACATACTGAAATTCAGTAAACTAGTGGTTGTGTGCTGGCATACTGCTTCAGAAAAGAAGAGGAGACTGGAATCTTTTGGTGACCTGTTCATCAGCCCTTGATGATACACATGATATAAGTTCCCCTATCAATGGATTTCACGGAACCAACAAAATTCTGAATGTTGAACTGTCTTAGTTACTCTTCTCTCGTTGTTGGGACAAATACCTGACACTCACAATGAAGGAAGGAAAGGTTTATTTAGCTCACAGTTACTGGAGGTTTCAGTCCATACTCAGCTGGGTCCAACGCAGAGCAGCACAGAGTAGAAAGCAACCTTTCATGGTGGTGGCAAAGAGCAAGAGTGCAAGGGAGGGGTAGCAGCAGCTCAAGCAGCTAGCTTCTCTTCCCACCTTACATTGTAATGCAA